GGTCACCATGCCTTTGGGGGATAGGGCACAGAAAGGGGAAGAATTTTCAGGGGCCATTCCAACTCATACCTGGCAGGGGAGATACCATTATTGTAAAAGTGGTTTTCCCAGGGTAAGGCTCATCTATTGCACTTTGGATGTGCTGACCCCTATGATTTCCCCAAATGTGGGAAAATCAACTGCCTAAGTGGGGAACTGTGTTTGTGGTTTCTCCTGGTTTTTCTAGAATCACTCTTTTTTCCCTTTGGTCCTTGCCTATTTTCATTGCCTACTGCTATTGGCCTTGCTGGTTTTCCAGGTAGGCTGCAGGAAGCAGATCCTGGAAAGCCAGCAGTGCAGAATGGTGAGATCCAAACAACAAGCAGTCTCTGGTGCCAGTTCAGAGGCTTCCCAGCATGCCAGTGGAAGGCTTCTGGGTGGTGGTGGCTGAACCCCTTTTTTACTGTATTTACTCCATAAGACGCACATACTTTCTCCACCTCTATTTGGGGGAAAAAGTGTGTCTTATGGAGCGAAAAATACGGTATTTGTCTTAGTTCGGTGTCCAGTGTATGAGTCATAATCCTAAAAATATCCTCAGGCATGTTAAAGGGCTAGTCATGCCCAGAGGAGTTTTTGATGGTGTCTTAGAAACCTAGAGCTCCATGCCATATTACAAACTGCCTGTGAAAATTTTGCAGCATCTTGTCAGTAGTGTAGGTCTTCAAGGAGCCTGCCTGGGTTTTCTACTGTTTGGAACTGTGAGAGAATCTGCATCAAAGATTATGGTGTGTGGGCGTTATCTGTTTCAGTGCAGTGGTTCTTACACTGATTTCAGATTCCTCCCCCTCAACCCTAGTCTTTCTCTGTTATATAAGAAAACTTTCTGAGGTACTCACAGAATATAATAACTGTTTGCAGTCATGTTTGCTTACTCAAGAATGTTCCAAAGAGGCCCCTGTTCTTAATGAACCTTGCCTGTTTTGTTACTTAGGGCACCTTAATTCAAATTGCCTAAGGCCCGGTTTTTGGAACCACAGCAGTATTAGTCTTGAGGACTAATTCTCATGCAGATAATTTTAGCTTGGATCTTAAGCAGATAGTATTACTGGCAAAACAATTCATTATTCAGTAACTTTAATAATTAGTATTCAGACAGATATAAACAGAAATAAAAAACAAAAACCTCGTAAAACTTTGAAGACTTATATTTCAGCGTGAGGTTTTGTGAGTGCATTGTATTCTTCAGCCAAGAAGAATGCTCTCATTCAAATATAACAGTTAGTTTTAAAGGTGCTACAACATTTTTGTTTTTTATTTGTTGTTTATTGATTTTTTTTTGTATGGATATGCTTGCACAGGCTAATAGGGCTGCTTCTTTCAAAACAGCAATTTAGTAATGAGCTTTTGATTAATGTTCTTTAGTAATGAGCTTTTGAAAGCTCTTACTTGAAATATGTCTTGGAAAATATCTTCTTGGTGTTCAGAGGGTTAGAAATATAAATAAGATAATATTTATTTGTTCACACAAGCTACGTGAATAGTTGACAAGCCTGTTAAAAACATTGCTGGAGTGTTTAAGCAAATAAAATTCATTCAACAGAAAGATTTGCCAGTTTTAATAGAGAGAATAAAATGTCTCCCTTTCATTGTTTTGTTCTTTTTTGCCTGCCATTGACATAGCTCATGTTTATTTAGCTTCAGAACTTTGTGCTGTTAAAAGTTGATTAAGGATAGTCTTATTCATGCTTTCATAGAGGCAAGTCTCATTGAATTAAGTGAGGCTTACTCTCAAGTAACTAGACATAATATTGTAGGTTTAAAGAACTTGGTGTGTAGCTTTGTAATCTTCATGTGAACATTTGTGAACTGGATTTTGTCACAGTAAAATGCCATGATACACACTGCTTACCTTGAGACTGTTAAGTGAAAATAGTTTACCGCCAGTGCTATAAGTCAGTAAAGATGGAATTCAGCTGTGCATCTCACTCCTAATTTATTATACTTGAGACAATGATAATAAATATTCCTTGACATTTGAAAAAACGTTTAAAAATAAAATACATTTAGGAATTTAAGACATTTCAAACTGATTACATTTTGCACTTTTGCTAGGAAAATGTTACATCTTAGATGGAAAATAGGTGCTTGGAAAAATTGTGAAATAGTTTATTATCAGTATCCATCCTGAATATATATTTCCATTTGTCTAGTAGTTGTTGCTTAGATATTGTATGTAAGAAATAAAATAGATAGGATTTTTAAGCATGTATGAAGAAGAATAAATGGAAACATTGGCTCCGGCAGCATTTATATTGTCATTCTTAAGCTATAAAATAAGTCAGCCATCTTGTGCGGTAGCATTGAAAACGTGGCTGGTCTTATAATTGGACTTTCAGTTTGAGCCCACTGGGAAATAATTTAGATATTTTGGATTCAAAGATCTGTCATGGTGATGATGTCTTCTTCATAATGTCATGCCTCATGGACTTCATCCCCATCCAGGTGGTAATTACTAACT